ACAAGCTTTGATTCAATCTATATTCCGCTGACAATCCTTCTACGCATTGGCACTGAACATCACTTGCGAGGGAACATCTGTAGTGTTTAGGGCATGTTCATGAAACTGTACCCACCTTTTTCGCACTATGTAAAATTCACTGAAAATAAGATGGTTATAGTTTCTTCCCATTCCTTCGAAGAGGGTTCCTCATCTACTTTGTGACCAAGGACTATTCGTATCTCGTTATATTTGGTTAACTATCCCTATAGCTAGGCAGGTAGTACCTTGGTATACGAAAACAATCAGAAACATTTTTAGTGTTGTGTGAAGTCCCCCAGTAAACATGTGGTCTCCTCTCGAAGAAATGGATAGCTATTTGATTCGTTTCGAATGGCATTGGATCCCAAAGCTTGAGTACTCATGCAAAATATGAAGTCGTCAACCAAGCTTGCTTCATCACACTTCCAAATTTTGACTACCTTTGTGGTTTGTGTTAAGACTGGATACAAACAAGTACTTACTTACGCCTGTTACTCCCAATTAAGCATAGGTCGCCGATCAGCACTTCCCAATCCACGCTGTCCTGGGCCTTCTTTTCTAGTTCCGTCCAATTTTTGTTTATTTTTCTCATATCTACATTTCCCGGCGTAATGTGTTCTTTGGTCTTCCTCTTCTCCTTTGGCCCTGAGCATTCCAAGTGAGGGCATACGTTGTGACGCAGTGGAGTGCTTTCCTTAATATCCATCCTATCCACTTCCAGCGCTTGTTCCTGATTTCTTCCTCCGCTGGGATCTGGTTTGTTCTCTCCCACAGTACGTTGTTGCTAATAGTGTCCGGCCAACGGATCTGAAGTATTTTGCGTAGATAACTGTTAGTAAACACCTGTATTTTCTGGATGATGGATTTCGTAGTTCTCCAGGTTTCTGCCCCATACAGTAGAACTGTCTTGACATTTGTATTGAAAATCCTGACCTTGGTGTTGGTTGACAGTTGCTTTGAGTCCCAGATGTTCTTCAGTTGTAAATATGCTGTTTTTTCTTTACCGATCCGCGCTTTCACATCTGCATCAGATCCACTGTGTTCATCAATGATGCTGCCCAAATATGTAAAGTTTATTACATATTCCAAATCTTCTCCGTCAAGTGTGATTCATTGTCGCATGATGTGTTGTATCGGACAATCTTGTTTTTCCCTTTATGTATGTTGAGACCTATTGCTGCTACACTGGTCGTCCTCTACTGCGTTTGTTGTTGCGTGTGCGATAGAAGAGCCAGATCATCTGCGAAGTTTAGATCGTCCAGCTGCATCCTACCTGTCCACTGTATCCCGTGCTTCTCCCCAGATGTTAAGGTTTTCATGATCCAGTCGATCACCAGGAAAAAGAGAAAGAGTGAGAGTAAGCAACCTCGCCTGACACCGGTCTTTATTTTGAACGACTTTGTCAAATGTCCTCCATGCACGATTTTTCAGTGTAATCCATCATATGAATTCTGTATGATATTGACTATCTTCTGAGGCACGTCGTAGGGTCGAAGAAGTTTCCATAGTGTTGTTCTGTCCACGCTATCAAATGCTTTCTCGTAGTCAATGAAGTTGATATAGAGTGATTAGTTCCATTCAATTGATTGTTCCACAATGATCCTTAGAGTTGCCTTTGAAAATTTCATGAATAGTTATAGTTTTAAAAGTCACAATATCACTTCTGTGTCATCTACTTAATGGGTAGAGATATGGTAGTTTGGGCTAGGTACCATATATTGGTTTCACAATTCGTTTTTGAGTATTTTCGAAAGTCTTTAAATCCTTCTGAAGTAAGTTAGAGAACTCTGATTTCATTTTTTAAGTCAAGTAAAGTTTTCGGGATTTAGGTAGGATATCCTACTGTCAAAATCCTGACAGATCTTCTTAGAGTGTTTTCAGTATGTTACTCGCTATCTCCCCTATCCACAATAATCTTTAGCTTGTTTATGTTTGGTTTCGATTTTATGGTGTGGTGCGGTTCATTATGTCTGTAAATAAACCGGGTCTCTGGGAGCTCATTGTTGATCTTAGTTTGGAGGTAGGGTATTTTGAGAAGCTTTCTATTAATTGGTCAAAAGGAACTTATCCGTAGACTCAAGGTAAAAATCTACCAGACGGGTGTGCAGTTGAGCTCGAGACGGACCGAGTTATGATTATGGTTGATGTTTTGAGATGTTATACTGGCCAGTGGTCATAAAATACAATCCTACACGTAACATGGGTTTGTGACTCAATAGTCATTGAGAGTTTTTAGTTGGAGTTTCAAAGCTTCACATCAGTGAAATAAGATATTTTGGCTGGTTTAAGCAAGGCCAGGATATTGTTCGTCAGAAAATGAGATCAATTCATTTTAATCCTTGTTTCCTCTTTAGATGCATACCAGTTGTTATATTTATTTAGTTTCAGATGCCAGCATAAGTTGATATTGCAAAAGAAAATGAATGTATGATTGATACTTCAATGAAAGTTGATGAATGAAAGTAGAATCATGGTCTACTATGATAGTAGTACTGTTCTAATAATAGACCTAATCCTAAAATTGTACATTTGTCATGCCGTAACTGCCTAATCTATAATATCCCACGTGCAAGTCACATCATTGTCTACGCCAACTCATCACATCGTACCAATCACCAATATATGATAGAGAATAAACTCGGGCTAGAGACAGAATAATATATTTAATATGAATAAAAGATTATGTTACAACACTTAATAGTGACCACGCCTGCAAGGTTGAGCCATGCCGTCCGAGCGATTCGTACTCCATTCATTCCTCCCGCCCCCTCCACCGTTGGCTTTTCTCCGCGTCAAATAATGAATATCAGTTTTCCCGGTTGTCTCGTGTTCAGCTTTGGGGATAGTGTGGTCATGGCCCAATGCAACTACATGAGTACAGATCAAGAATAACAAACGACCTAATTTTGGTAAAGAAGTGTCAGTCTTTCAATAAGTTGAGAAGAAATTGGATACTGATTATAGTGGCAAGTCGATTGTCTTTTATATTGTTAAGAAGAGTGAGAGCTCAGAAATCGTATTGAAAATGATATTAACTTGATAATAAAGTTACCAAACCGGCTAATGACCCAGAAATCTCTAAAGTCACCTTGCTAAAGGTGGCGAAAGGGACTTGTAAGATAATTGAAACGGGTTGCTAAAAGTAGTATTTAAGTATCTCAGTGAAAGGGACTCGATACTACAGAATGGACAGAAACTAAAAAGGTCATAAGTTTCTGTCCGTAAATACTTGCTGAATAAGACACCTTATAGGAAGACGAGAAGCTGAAAAAGCAAAACTATCAGTGCTAGGTGCACAGATAGACTCGATCAAGTCAGAAATTATCGCAGTCTTAGGAACGCGGCTGACGTTGTCCGTAGACAGTTAAGAATGTGATTCCTAAAGTTTCACTCTAGTGGAAGTGTAAAAGCGGAGTAGTTCTATTTATCCAAAGTAATATCTCATTCACCGTTATTGATAACATATCCCGTTAAAGTGAGGCGTGCAAATTAGTCAGTTGCCGCTTGAGATGCAAAGGACAAGAGCTACTCATAGGTTTCTTCTGTAGCCTTCTAATCTGCGAGCTGAATGAGGTTATGCTAGACAGTTTCAACACTTGATCACCAAGTAGTCTATGCTTATGAGGCTTTAGTATACCTACGGCAGACAAAATATCTAGGGACTGGATTGTCAGAATATACTTTCGAACAGAGACTACTTGATGCGGTTATCACATGTGCTCTAATTCAGCGTGTGAACAAAGCAACTAGGTGCGTTGCGGACTCTGAATCATCCTTACTTGATTTCATATCGACCCATTATGAAGATAACTTCACTTCTATTATTTCCCACCCTTAAGTAAGAGTGATCATGCAGTCTTAGTCTTTAACTTCTATGTGGTTGTGAATAGCGAAGATGTGTCCGCCCGAGCGAGACCAGATGTCTGAAAAGAAAATATACAAGATACTATGCCCAACATCTTCAGTAGATTGGTCAATAGAACGAGAGTGTCCTATGCAACGGCTTTGGATGTGTTAAAAAATTTGTGCATACAAGTTGCTGCACCACACACCCCTTGGACTACATAAAGGTGTACGAGAAATTCCCCACTGCAGTTCAATAAATAGGTCCACACTACTCTCTGTGATGGGAGAAAAATAATGGAGGCCTTCATGTTACAAGAGACAACATTTCAATATCGAGAAGCTCGAAGTATCTGTGTCTCGACCCTCCGCAAGTCTAGAATGTTGTACAAGACAAGCTTGTTAGGGAGTCTATGCTATACCTTAAACGCTTGTACTCGTACATGAACCGAAAGACTAAGAGAAAAGGAAATAGTTCAGCATTGTGGTGAGACAGCAGTATTGACAGTAGTACCGGATCATTAGTGGGGGGGGGCGATTGTGGTAGAGCTCGGGTATTCTCGAACCACTTTGGTAATGTATATACCGTAGAAGTGCCCTCCCTTTCAGTTCATACATCGCTTCACACGCACTCTGAACACTGTGACAATGTCTTTGATCTGATAAATAAGCTTTATATAAACAAGTCTATGGGACCCGATGAAATGCATCCTGGGTTACTAAGGGAACTAGAACACTTCTTCGCGAATCCTTCAAGCGTATGTTTCAGTTTATCTGTAACCTAGGATCGGTAACCAAATGAGTAGCAGGAAGCTATAATAAGCCATAATTTCAAAACAGGTACGTGACACAAACCTTAGAACCTCCGACCCATATACCTAACCAGCATGGTTGTCAAAAATTTAAAAAGGATTATTCAGAACATTTTAGAACATGTTACTCCTGTCTCACAAAATTATTGTCCTTGGGCTCTTATGGGATCTCAAGCTTCAAACAAGCCGAAACAGATGTTCCTTCCAGAAAGTTTTCTGCATTTGGCAAGACGTGGAGAAATTCACTGGTCCCACATGACCATAATCGGTACACTTGGTTGGAATTACAGTTTGTGCTTCAGCAAAACCACTGTATAATATTTGCCTGAGTTGATTGAGAGGGTTGAATCATTCTGTTCTAAAGAAAATCTTCCAGTAACTCAGATATTAGGAATTGCTTGTTTTATATTTCAGACTGCATAGATTGTAGATTGAAGGCGTGGTTTATTAAATTAACCGTTACAACAATAGTACTCGGAAGTGGGTATTTCCAATCACCGTTCTTCATGATAATATTTTTCACAGTTAAATTCTCCAGTTGACTTAAGCTAGAACACCATTGAAAATATGGAAGCACTGGACCGATTGAAGCTAGACATTAGCACTGTTGGATCCCGAGTCAGAGGTCCAGAGGTTCGAGCGCGAGACTGAAAGTCCTGGGTTTGGATTTCGCATGTGTGATCGTGGATGCTTACTGCTGAGGAGTTCCATGCTAGGATGAGACGGCTATCTAGTGCTTCCAGGTTCTCAATGATCGTCTGGCTTAGGTGGATTGGTGGATTCAACTATAAACGGTACTTGACTTTTCACACCATTACTTTCTAACAACAGGTTTTCAATCTCTCTCCGCTCCGTTCACTGACCTATGAGAAGCATAGAAGTGTGGAAACTTCCCATCTGTGACGGTAGGGCCAGCAAACGTTTACCTGGGGTTCGGTTTTTACTTATCATTTTACCAGCATAATTTAAGAAGTGTAAATCTAAGGATCTGAACAAATTCACAGTAGGAGTCGAAAGTCATCGGCAAATCACTATGATGTCAAAAGTGATCCTGTGTATATCAAATGTCTACCAATTAATAGACATTCTTTTCAGATTCTTTATTGACCTTTATGAGCCGATTGTTTATCAAGTGATGATTGAAAACCTTTTAGTGACCCACTTTTGCCATATCTTGGTGATATAGTAAGCCAAGTAAACCGTAAAATAAAAGGACCGTCATCTTGAAACAAAGATTTCGTTGCTAAAGCTTCATTTGAATTCAGAACTAGGTAACTATTTCCCCGCACATGGAGCCACGTAGTGTCATATTTTTAAGTCGTTAACTAACAATGAGAAATATTTCACTCCTTATTTCTACTTACTGATTACTGATATGTACGATATTTGATACCCACATCGTGAATGTAAGTAGCTTTCGAAAATTACGTCAGTGTTTTGATCTGTCCCTGTGTATTCACCGGAATACTTGGCATTTTGTGAAAAACTTAAGTAGAAAACATTTCAATACCTAATTGTTGTTTCTCGCATCTATCTAGACTGTTCTGTTAATTACAGATCGCAAAGTTATGCTCTAACAGTTTGCAGTATTCCTGACTGTGCACTAAATTCATAATTCCAGTGTTGGGTTAACATGCTTATTCTAATGTGTGATGAGTTCTGCCAACAGTTAACTGTTCTTCTCCAGAAAGTGCGTTCGACAGATATTGTAGTACTAGTCAGAGACTTGAATGCTCAGGTCGGGCGTCTAGGCACAGAAGAGAGTCGTTTAGGTGGCCGATGGGGACTTGTTAGTCGCAGGACAGATAACGGGGACCATCTACTGCAACTGTGCACAGACCACAACCTGTTTCTGGATAGCACTAACTTTCGGCACAGTCATCGTCGATGTGCCACCTGGTGTCCTCTCTCTGCATTTCAAGCCTGGACTCAGATTGACCACATCGCGGTCAGCTACCACTGGTGTGGTTGTGTGCAAGACTGCCGCTCCTTTTAGAGTACCTATCTGGACTCTGACCATGCCTTGGTCTGCGCCAATCTTGCCTTACTTTTCAGTGGACGACGAAGTGACCGCCACCAACGGATTGATGTTAGCAAGCTGGTTGCAACTTCTGTTGCAAGTAAGTATCGAACCGAGCTAGCTTCTAGGCTAGCTACCATTCCACCGAAAAGTATAGATGAGCATTGGTTGCAATTTCATGATGCCATGAAAATGGCGGGTACAGTCAGTTGTGGGTTTGCGAAACGTCCCACTTTTGAACACTGGGTTTCTTCAGGCTCCTTAAAACTCATTGAAGCCCGTCGGTCTACTCCGGGTGACCGTGAGTTTGACCACAAACGAAGGTTGTTACGTAGTGAAATTGGGCAAAGCTTGCGTGAGGACCGAGAAGCCTGGTGGTCGGAGCGTGCTAATGAGCTGGAAGCAGTAGCTGTATCTGGTAACTGCCGGAAACTCTTCCAACTCCTCCGAGCCACTGGCAGCAAGAAGTCTGGTATGAGCGAAACAATCTGTGAGGATGACGGGATGCCAATCAATAGCATCAATCGACGTCTTGGACGATGAGCAGTTTTTCGAGGAGCAGTTCAATTGGTCTGTTGCCCCGGCAACACCAATCAGACTCCCCTCCCCTCCATGGCCTGTGATGACCGATCCACCAAATGAGGCGGAAGTCCTCAAGGAACTCCAACTCTTGAAGTGCTACAAGTCACCGGGTTCAGATGACCTACCTACGGCCCTATTTAAAGATGTTGGTGACTTTCTGACTGAGGAACTGACTGTGGTGTTTACCAAGGTTTGGGAACTAGAGAGTGTACCAACGTCATGGAATAAGTCGATAGTTGTCCCTATCTTTAAAAAGGGTTCACGTCGTTCCTGTAACAACTATCGGGGGATAAGTATACTTCCGATTGTGTCCAAGCTATTGGCTTCCATCATACTTCGTAGGTTGTTCAAAACCCGAGAAAGATTGACTCGCAAGAAGCAGGCTGGCTTTCGTTCTGGTCGAGAATCTAGTGATCATATATTCACCCTCCTCCAAATGTTAGAACACCGTCATACTTATCAAAGGTCAACAATCGTAGTGTTTCTTGACATCAGGGCTGCCTTCGATTGGTTGAACAGGATTGTTCTCTGGGATTGTCTATTGAAGAAGGGCGTGCCTGAGAAGTTTATTAACATTCTAAAAGTCCTATATTCAAAAACCTCAGACAGAGTGAGGGCATACAACCACCTTTCTCCATTATTCCATTCGAGAAGTGGGGTTAGAGAGGGTTGCCCAATCTCGTGGTGAGATCAATGCACGTATAGTGAAATCCAGAGCGGCTTATGCCAATCTGGGCCATCTTTGGCGCCTTCGTGATGTTAGTCTGGCTGTAAGAGGTCGTATCTACAACGCGTCGGTGAGAGCAGTTTTGCTTTATGCTTGTGAAACCTGGCCTCTCCAAGTTGAGGATGTAAGACGATTCTCTGTGTTTGACCATCGTTGTCTCCGAAGGATTGCTGACATCCAGTGGCAACACCATGTTAGTAACGCAGAAGTTCGGTATCGTGTGTTCGGGCTCAGCAACAATAATTCAATTGGTGTCACCATCTTGAAACAACGACTTCGGTGGCTTGGACATGTTGCACAAATGTCATCCCAGAGAATTCCACGCTGTTCATTATTTGTCGACTCCGGGACTGGTTGGAAAAAGCGGAGAGGTGGCCAGTGTATGATAAGTTGTCGTGATATGAAAGAAAGCTGTAAAGGGGCTGGCTTGTGTTGGTCCTTCAAGACTCCGTGGTTGTGGTCCTAGAGATGGTGCAACACAGTGGTTAGAGACGTTATCAGATATGGCTCGGAATAGAAGTCGTTGGCGATCCTGCTGTAACCTTCTTTTACTTTCTTTATCAAAAAGTGGTTGTATCTTTCTTAACTGAAAGAATTCTCCTGGTTGTACCTTTCCGTTTCCCCCATTAATATGATTATTTCACTACCTTACACTAATCTGTGGTTGTAGTTGTTCTTTTTTTCTTTTACGTTCCTTACTTTCCTTTTTCTCTTCCCATTCTCATTGTTTTGTTTGGCGCATATACATATATACGGTGCCCCCTTATACCAATATTTATGTTCAAATAAGTAAATAAAATAAATAATCTACATTTCAGTCAGTTGGTTGACTGCTTAAAGTCTGACTATACTTTTACCAATAGGAACGTACCTGCAGCCTGGTCAGTGATAACCTACAACTCTGTATTAAATAACTAGTCAACGCATCTTAAAGCTGGTCTTTACGCGTCATTGTACATGGTTGCTTTGTGAGAATTGGGGTTTTTGCTCGTGATAGATGATTGTAGGCGGTCAGGTTGATGCTCTCAACCAAATGGTATTCTTAATTGTCACTTATCAATAAGGTGTATCTTTAATCTTATGGTGGCCTGTGCCTTACAGTATCACTTTCAGAAACATTGTCTTTGTGCTGTTCAACTTGAGACTGACCACTTTTAGAAATGAGATATTTACAGTATTTACCTTATATAGCTTATTAACGTTCTGTTTATTTAGTCTTTATTGTTGATGGAATCTCAACCCAGTCACAACGTGACTATTAGTTGAAATGAGACGACTTTGCTTATACTGTATTTCGATGTTAAGTAATGTATATATCTATCGTAAAAGAAGTCATTCTCTTCCAAAACAGCTCAGAAGTGTTATCTCTGGCTATGGTGCAAGTTCGAATCATAATTACAGGTACATTTTGTTGACTAGTATTATTATTTGAACACAAATATTAGTACAAAGGGGCACCGAATACACATGCACCACACAAGTCACTTGATTTGTGTCTGGGCTATGATCTTGAATGACATGGCTCAAAATCGTTTGCAATGGCGCAGGTGCATCCACTCTTTGTGTTCTCCCAAATTCTAATCTGAATTCCTCATGTCCCTTTTTTTCTCTTTCCAAATTTATTTCACTGGATTATACTGCTTGAATAACATCTTTCCGATTACTGCTTATACTCTTACTACCACTATAACTACGGGATTTGAATCGACAACTGCATCTCTGCACTAATATGGTATGGCAACTCGAACTGATGTACGTACATACGTACGAAGTTCTACGTTGTTACTAACTGACTGACTGGGCTATAATACTGCCCGGGTGCCCAAACCCGGATCCTTGGACCTAAAGTTCTGATCCACAAAGTAGTAGAGCAACGTCAGGAGATACAGTCCCATGGTAGCCGGTAATCAATGATTGGTTCGTACACCATGTTCCTTCAGGATACTGAAGCTCATGTGCACCATTTGTTTGAAACCAGGGTTTTCCAACGTCCCTATGTGCATCATCCATATCCACCAACCGGTTTAAGGCACCGGACATTCGTTTTCCGTCCTCTCAATTTCTTAAACAACACCCCCGCCGCGAGAAGGCAGTGAGCAGGACTTCCCTGGCAGTGGCTGTATACGTGTAGCCATGTGGGAGGATTTTGACGGGGGGAGCTGACTCGCCCCACGCTCCGCTGCAACAGGACATATGAGGACTTTGTTGACTAGTGACATGTAGCACCCTATCTGGGTTCAAGATATTTTGCCGATTGCGTCTGACCATTTAATTATGAAAGTACATGATCTCAAGTCACTCGTACTAGTATTCGCGTTGCAACTCGGTTGATAAACTTTGATTAGCACTAAGGAACTTGATAAACATGGGACTGGTTAGCAGCCAGTATAGGTAGTACTCAAACTAAATCAAAAGTGTTTAAATAATCTTTAAACTCATCGCCTGATTTCCAGAGTCAAATGCTCAAGCTTTCGAATCTAAATCTCGCAAACAGTAGAAAATTGCAGGTCAAAATTATGGAAAATGATAATAAGGCTTCCCACTTTAAAAGAGTATTTGTTTCATATAAATTATATTACTAAAGGGCTTTTATTGGAAGGCTGGAAATCTGATTAAAGTAAGCTGTGACTTCGAGTTCTCAGGTAATAAGTCTCAAACATCAAATGCATAACCATTTGATTCCCAGGCTAAATTACATTTCGATCACTTGAGCCACCCATATGGTACTTAAGCTTATGACTTAAATGAGTCGTCTGATAAGTCTTAATAGTTGATATTAAAATTATATACGACCACAATTATTTGCAACATACTCAGTCTTCTAGATTGGAAAACCACATTGGTTTTCTTGTAGGATTCTGTGGTCGATTGTGATTATTTATTGGATCAATAATTGACATTTTAATGATTCCTGATTATTGAGGCTTTTGAGTAGTCCTGTATCTGACTCCAGTAATATCGTATGATTATTATCGAAATAGACATATTGCCAGTCGTATATAATTATCAACTTGCGTTGATGAATAACGGCATCAAATAGGTCAAATACGAGAATGGATTTTTGAATACGTATATTTCGTACGGTTGTTGATCAAGGCAAACGATCAAAGAAATAAAGCGAAGTGAAATAACGCTCAGTGGAGATGGTATGTGAGCCAACTCAATTTAACCAAGAGTGAATCAATATTTATAACCGAACAAAAATAAGTTGCAGACATGTTATGAGTAAGGTAGAAAATGAACACACATACGCTCATACGGAAACAGTCAAGGCTGATAAGTGAATAATTAACAAGGTCAAAACGTGACTCAAGAGGAAGCTAGAATAAGTTATGTGGGCTTAAAATAGTAGCCAAAACTACAGCTTCGATCTTATCACTTTGATGCGATTCCATAATTCATTTATAACATTTTTATTTCCTTCTTTTAATTTTACAGATGAAACATAAGCGGGATTTAAAGCTACTACTTCATCCATACTTTATCGTGAATATGCTACTTAGCGCTCTTTTTTTTATATCAAAAACTGTCCCATTATTTTGTACATGGATGTATGATGATTGTTACATCAATCTCCAAGAATATGAAATGTTGATATTTTTAGGAAGCTTCGTCGCATTGCGCAATAAGCGTCAATTCTCTATTCCCGATTATCTTGCTCATTTCTACATGTTTGCTAAAATCGTTAGTCTACTTATGTTCTGGAAACAGAATGTTGTATATGCCATATTATATGGTGTTTTATGGTTAGTGCAAGCCTGTTTTTTACAACAACCTGTTTATAATGGGCCCGATAAAGTTTTATACTTGCGAGATACTACCTTTGAACAAGAAGTTATTCGTGGTAACCCTAAGGTAACATGGCTCGTTGCTTTTTATACTGTGTGGTCACCTGCGTGTACTAAACTACAACCTATTTTTGCAGAACTGTCAGAAGAATTTGGAACAGATCTTATGAAGTTTGGCAAAATCGATGTAATACGATATCCAGATGTCGGCGTCAAACACAACATTGATACATCCTCCTGGTCTAAACAGCTTCCTACTCTGATTTTATTTCGTCAAGGTCATGAACTGACACGCAGACCAGCTATAATCAATACACCTAAGAAAACAGTACAGAAATTCACATTCACTTGGGATAATATGATCAATGCTTTTTCATTAAATGAAATATACACTAACCAGAAACAAACTTCTAGCGCTGCAAATCAGTGTGGTTCAGCTGGTTCAACAGATAAAGATAAGAAAAACCTGTGAAAACATACGGTTTCATCGAGATATTGTGTTAGGTACTTTATCTAGTCTTTCTTATATCTTTTATTTGAACGACCTGCATCTGTAAATTAATTTCACCAGTTAATTTTTTCGCACAATGTTTCGGTACTCAACCAAATTTTTACTCAGTTAAATTGACTTCCATAGTTGAATGCCTTAGTTACTTCTGTCTTAATGCTTTGTACAAATTTAAGTACTCTTTAAATGTCTTATATTGTAAAAATGTTTTACTCTGATTGATAAACAGCTTGCAAGCATGCTGTTGATAGACTAGTTGTAACCAGGTATTTTTTAAAACTTGTTTACTGATGTGTCGCATGACAACAGTTATTACTGTTTAAAGTAAATTAGATAAAATAAGATGTTAACTCATGAGTTGGTGGATGAGAGACTTATGTTTAGACTATTGAATCACTGTTTCCTTAAGAATAGTTCTGTCTAGTTACAAAACAGATATATCACATTTTAAAGGTTCATTTGCATTTAGTTTAGTTTCACTACAACATAGACAATATTTTGGTGAGATGCACTATCTCGACCCTTATTTACACAGAATGCGGCCCTTTTATTCTTATCGTACCACCAAAATGCTTTGAAAACTGATAATTAAATAATGTAGTTGTTGTTTTCAAGGTAAACAGCTTTGCTGCAGATTTCTAGTTTACTTTGGGCTGTTTCCTAATAAACGTGTTTTTCTTAGTTCTGCAGCATAAAGACAAAAGGTTTTTATGCACATTCTCCTGTACGTTGGATTCCATGACCATGTAATCCGATTCGTGATATCTTACTGCTTTTATCTTTTTCAAATGCAAGTCTTCGACATTCTTCGTTTCGAAATGTATTTATCCGCCCGACAGCCTAAAATTAAAATACAGAAGTGGTTGTGTTTAAACAATATAGATTAAAATAATTTAGTCATTACTCATTCGGAATAAACTTAGGACTCGGGATGATTGTACACCAACCCCAATTATCCAACACCGATGTGATATTCACAAAATGCATTGCAAACAAGTCTAAATCATAGTATCATCACTAATACTAAGGATGCTAAGTACAAGGAATATTGTTTGAATTAAGTGAATAAATTCTTGTGATGAAAAGTATGTAACGGTATTGAGACTTTAAATCTAGATGAGATTTGATGCATCTCCGGTCGGTTATCACGGTTATCCCACTAACCTGTATTATTGAGTGTCCAACGTTCCTATACTGTTTTAAACAAACATATTAGTCAATATTGGAGATATTTTGCTGAATAAGAATGGCAGTTGGTTGATTTCTAAAAACAAGTGATAGTGTAATTATCTATCTGGCAAATAAGTTGCTTACTGTCAAAGGGATATCGATTTGTCAACATATTTTCACACGCTCTGCTTTTGTATACACACTAGCTTTGTTAATTCAGGTAAGAAGGTTTAGGAACACCATTCTAGTTCCCGTAAATTTTAGTAACAATAAAAAACCGTAAAATAATCATTAGGTAGTGAGTTAGTATACATATATAAAAACAAACAGATTAAGTTGAAGCAGTGTATTCTTCTCCAAACAATAAGTCACAATTTCTTCCAGCTAGATAGGAAATTCCATCTGATGACATGTGGTAGAGATGGGTGGAGATCTCACACTGCCAAACTTTTCGCTTTCAATTACCTTTGAATTACTTAAGTACCAACTGTCAAAACTAGTTATCAGACATCAGTTATTGTGTTCACTGACCAACTTAAAATTCTATGACTTTGGTCTTGGTATACGTGATTATCACTTCAAAGTCAGTGGTGATCACAAACCAGTTACCCAATCCTTTTGGCTGGTGAGGATTTAGTTTTAATCGTACATCACTAAGTATTAAATTTCAATTTTTTCGCAATAGTTTGTCGAATGCCATTGGCTTATTGAATTCACTTAGAATTATTACGATTTGTGGGGTGCTCCTGTACATGTTTGTTTAATTCTTCTGGTCTTACTAGCCACATGTATATCTCAGTTCAAGTAGATTGTCTAAACATGAGGATTTAAAAGTTTCTGTAAACTTACATTTTGTTCAAACCTCTTCAACTTCCAGAAGCTCTCTTCTTTGTTTTTCGTCATGCAATTTCTTTTAACCATCGCATCTGTGTCAGGATGGTTAACTCTTCTGGACATGCTCTGAGTATGAAATGTTATTAAATAATACATTTCATACCGTTAGTCCAGCTAATTTTGCTTCTGTTTTGTCTGATTTCCTCATCTGTGCATCAATCCAGTCTTTTTGATATTTGTTTGAAAGGATTTCTTGAATTGGCGTAGAGGCTCTAAATAAATGTGAAAATTAGGAGCATGAATTTTCAGTAGTGGTAATAGTTACCATGCATGTTTGCACCCTTGAGTATTTCTAGATCACAACATATTCAGTCTGTACTTGTCTTAGTTTTCTACTGCGGTTGTAATGCACCATAATATAGATCTTGTTGGGTCCGAAACAGTCTCTTAGCAGATGTGGCTATTTGACCATGTGATTGACTGATGATGGTTCGGATCGCTATTTTTGACAATGAGTGTTTAAAGTCGATCTATCTGTGATCAGACTGCCGGACAGGCTCCTAAACTCTCAGTGTAGGAATACTTGAAAGTTATGAAGACAGCCAGTAAAAAGTGCTTTTGTTTCACTGCCAGTATCTCCAGCATGCTAAGCAATCAACAGACTCATGCACTCTCAGCAGATCTTTTAAGTTCTCATACGAAAAGTGAGATAGTTCTGTTCAGCTGCCGACTTCATTGTCACGGCTATTACAAATATAACGCGGTGCTAGATCATTGTTAATATAAGATTATGGAGAGTTTTCAGAATAGGTTTTTCTATTGCCCTAGTTTGCTATCAGGGTTCGTTAAAAAAGGTAGCCCAAACTATCAAGTGAGTAGTTCGTTGTAATCCAGATGTTTTCCGAATGCTGTTCGTACACAGTTTTTATGACTGTAATCTAAGCATGCGAATTGAGTTATAACTAAAACCGTAAGATTCGTTCCTGTGGTCGATAATAATGTTATCAATCGTGTTGAATTGTTGTCGTCGTTTAATAGTACTTCTTCCATGAAGAAGTACTGTTTTGTCATGAGCGTAGAAACTTGTTCTAAATTGTTTTTGATAGCTAAAAGGATATCAATATGTGATGTAGAGCGTCTTCAGAATTCAACGGACGTCTTTTCATATTGAGACTAGAGTGCTTTAAAAGAATAAAATTGTAAGCTCTTTAGTACCGGGTTAAATTTATCCAATTTCATTTAATTCCTTAGGAACATTTGCTGGTAATATTTCTGTCGAATGTGCCACACACACCTGTTGTTGGTTGGCAAATCTTAAATGTAGTTTAAAAAGTGGGGAAAACTTAATTCATTCAGTACCTCAACATATCAATAAAAGTACACGCATAGTCTTCTGAATATTCCCTTGTATTTGGGGTGTCGAGTTCCACTGGACTCAACGGAGTAGCCAACGCAAGCAATAGGTGAATTATTACTGAGCAAATAAAACTGTATAACAAGATAAGAGCTGGATGGTGCTTAGAAAAATAAACAGATGGGGTCGTACTTATTTCGACGAAAAGTTATGTCTGAATAATGGTATTAAAAGTACTCACTTGTTAGGCATACCATGAGTGACATCCAAATGTAGTTTTGGTGACTCCGTTCTTGATCTGCGTTTCGCTTGCTTCGGTCTCAATCTATCGTGTAACGCCCTAAAGTGAGTCATTTCCTTGCTTGTTGTCACTCCCTGCCTTACACTATCACAGTTTAGTGCCACGAAGTCCCGAGTTAGATATATATGGTCATTAGACTTCTGACGAATTGTGGTATCATCGATCCAGTGAAGGGCTAAAAATAATTAAGGGAATGACATACCATCAGAGACACCACTGGTTTTAACATTTTTAATTCCGTAAGTGAATGGTGGGGGAGGGACTTTTAGGCAATGTGTATTGCTGCGTCCTAGAATTGACTTAAAATAGTAATTGACTTAAAGAATAAATCTACTCGCTGAAGTAAAACATTCTTGCACATACTCTCTCTTTTATCGCCCAAAAGATTGGTTGCTGTATATTGCCATCCTCTTGAGTATTCAGGCTTACCAGTCTTCATATTTGTAAATGTGTCGCTGGTAGTCAGCATGACAACTGAAAATCTGTTGTGCTAAACAAAACCTGTGAAAGTTTGTTACACAGTTTTCTGTTAGATAACATGTCTTACACCCTGGGTGTAGTTAGTTTTCCTATATGATGACATTCCATCATAATTTTAACTGTGAGGTTTTAGATTTGTCGATCAGCAAATAAATGAATGGAGAAGACTTATGGACGAACCGACCAGATTTAAAAAAACAGATCATGGATTTTGGCTCAAAATTTATTCGTTTGTATAGCTAAATAGCGCCTTGGGACCTGATGCCATTCTTAACCCTAACCATCAACTATAAATCATAATGCTTATTATTCACCTTCTTAAGGTCTAATTCACGTCATTCAAATGTTTTTTACAAGCTTTAGCTTCACCGAGATGGACAGAATTAGAGTACACTGATGACAGTTAACGAAAGCTTAAACATTTTCAACAGAAACATTGACTTGAATATCTTATTATTCAAAACGATATTGCCACGTAGTCAGTGGTTGAAGTGTCAGTTCATGAACTGCATACACACAAAATCAAAGCGCTTTTAGTCAGTGCTTTGTGAATCCAATATCTTTGTCACCAGCTTGTACAAAAATTTGATTTCTTCACGATCATTTGTTACTTCGCTACATTATCAGGTATTTTTTAAATGTCTAATATGTGGTGGTCTATCCACTCAACTGCACTAGTTTTATTCAGTGTGGCAGTTATTTGTGGATAGGTATATCGTATATTCCAGTGGGTGCGTTTGTCTTAGGATAGTCGTGTTTTTGGATACTAGTAGTTATTACATTAACAGGCAGGAGATTGGTTTGGGTAGTACGTGATTGTGAAATCTTCCTTTAAAGCTATCCATTAGACCGTCGTAGTCACCTAGGCTAAGAGAACATCACAAATACGAGTAATATGCTTGTTCTGGAAATATGCTCGCGTCGGGGTGGTTTGACGTATTTAATATGTTGTATACCATCACCAAATCACCTCTTATCCTCCTGTATATCAGAGAGAATAATGCCAAAGTCTGTCCTCATAAGATTTATGTTTTGGCACAGACACCCACTTGATTGCCGATCTCCATACACTATTATTGCAATTATTCACAAACATCTTATGGGTACATAAGTGATGTGAAGAAACCACTTTGTAAATGCAATATAACCTAAGTGTTGTGACTTTATGGCCCGCTAGTTATCACGTGGTCTGTTCGCCAACAAAAACACGATTTATTCGCTCTCATACTGCATTAAACCAATGACGTCCGACCGGTCTGATCAGCCTAGTCTCCCTACTGGTCCGTTGCTCGCCTAGCCTGTCCAGCTGAGTCCAGAATGCCAATAACAGCCTACACTATGCGAATCATTTATTTCAGACATACTGGGTTTATATATCAACCAAACAGACCTCAACGCACAATAAAATAGGAAATAAAATTCTTACACAACAAAGCTAAAAAGTGGCTGTGAACGTGGGAGGCAGTAGTCAATTAACTGAACATAGCTTAAGAACAGTTAATCGCACAATAATAAGTTCTAGGTCAAAATAAAGCTTATAACAAGGGGAATACAGAGATATATAGTCTAGTTACTGAATATTTATGCCATGGGAATATATAAATACTAATTGTCCATTATTAGGTCTCAGACGTTACTAGTAATGTAATTTTTACTAGGATATAACCCTAAGTTTCACTAACGTTAGCATTACATATGACATATTTGAAAATGAGAAAAAGATAGTAATGATAATAGAATGATAATAATAAATCAGGTCCTGTGTAATTGAGAAGAATATTGAATTGGCTTTAAAGAAGGAAAGGGAGAAAATAAGGGGATAGAAATACGCAAATGGTTTAATAAGCGTGTTTATGAACACAGAATAGGAATAAGCCCAAGAGATTCCATGCTTTGGAAGAGAGGTCGCGCAATGACGTTTCAGACATGAAGATGGGATCATCTTCGCTTCTAATGAACCTAAGATCATTCCTTGTAAAACTCCTGATGTTGGGACATTCTTGGTCGCGTGAGCACTATTTATGTTACTATGAAACATTCTGTTCCATAGATAGTCTTAGAGCCAGGATAAAAGTGGGTCAGTGAAACCTGTCTTTGAAACCTTTGCTACGAAAAATACACGAGCGTCCCTTACTACCCATAGTTCTCTACTGTTATCTGTCACCATTCTTTCAGTCATGGGTCATGCTAAGGGTGTTTCATCATAATCGTGTAGTCTGCTCTAGTGTTGCTAAGGTAGGGAACATCCTGGTCTCGCTGATGTACTTCGCTTATGATCATGTTAAATATGACTGTACCATGGTCACTGCTTTCTGTTGGTGCGCCTATTATATAATTTTTCTGGGCTTTCGAACCTCTGGAGGGTCATTATACTCTCTCACTTAATAAGGTTTCGCCGTTTACACTTAGGCAACACCGGCATGATTCTGTCACTTCGATTAATTCGGTACTTTGTGTTGTTGCGGCTTTGAAGGGGCTATTGATGTATATTGGCACTACACCTGTTTTGTGTACCCTATTATACGGTAAGTGTCATATATTGTAGGTTCACTTACTCGTTCGTGATGTTGGGCGATAGCCCGATTTCAATAAAGAGTCTGGTCTCGAGATTTAAATGAAAGCACATTTTTTCGATTCCTTTCAATTTCTCCTCAGTCCTCTTACGTTTCTATAGAGGCAATTGGGACATCTCTACAGCGACGCCCGTCTTCTGGCTTTCAAACAGAGTGTAGTTTGAAGTGTGTTAGCAAATCCGCTCTTCAACGTTTACCCACTTCTGCTTATCGCTAACAGATATTGGGTATTCGCAATAGCCAGTGGTTTCGCTAGTGTATGAGCTCAGGATATGGCTTTCATAATCACGCGTCCGGCCGAGCCTGTGTTAGATGAATTTGGTATACTGGCGGGGATTGTTGCCGTGGCTTTCGATATGGTTGTAGAATTATAGTCTAGTCAAATACTAGTACTACTATGATATTAGACCTAATCCTAAAATCCTAGATTTGTCATGATGCGATCACATGGTCTGTAAGATCTTATGTGTAAGTCCCATCATTGTTTACAATGACTCGTTCGATCGTGACGATCAGCAATAGGAAGTCTAGCACTTCTGGCGAGTACATTTGATGTGAGAAGAGAGTAATATATTTGATACACAAAGTAAAAGTTCGTAAAATGTGCGCAAAACATGCCATTTTGATCGCCTGCTGCCATGTTCAATATTCTTATTTTTCTCTCAGTGTTACATGAAAAGTGTAAATCTTCTGAGTAATTATACGTTCAGCGACAAACATCATATTGTTGGAATCCAGTACTTCTACACTATTCTCCCACCAGAATCAGCGTGACGTTGGTTAGATACCAAATGGAGTTAGAAAATTGCACGCCAAATGTTCCTAAAAAAATGATACGAGTCCTGCAGGTACTAACAAACTGAAAGACAATTGATGAAGAAGGGAGTTGTAACTGATCAGGAAATATATATGGTAATTCCAAAATGTTCGGCTTAATTATTAACACGCTCAAAATAGAAATCTACTTATATATTATTTAAGCGTCAAACAAAACAACGTTACCTTAAAGAAGAACAATTTAGCATAGAGATATTTTACCTAGTCCCATTACGATTCATAGTGTAGAATGCAAACTAATGTTTGGATCAAAGAATAAATGTCTAGGTAGTTTAGATACGCTCTATTGCCCAGTTAAAACGAAAACAAGGTGACTGAGTAAATGACGGTACTAGATTTTTTATGAATATAAATGTACATTATTACCTAAACAAATATTACCACCCAGTTATTCAACCAATACTCGCTCACCTAGTAATCAAATCTAAATTACAATAAATAAACAAGTTGATAAAGGATGTAAGAAAATTACCAAGCGCAACAAATAAATGTTATTCTATCCTTTCTGGATAGATCATGTACAGATTCGCTCGAAAGATAGTATTTGGTTGCTTCATAACATAGTGTTTTCAATTCTGGAAGAGTGCTTCAATTCACAATCAAAGACGCACAATTCCAGTCAATGCAAGCAACACAATGAAAGGGGGTAATAAATCAATACGGCTGACGCCAAGATCAAGTGTCAACTAAAACAACATAAATGCAGTTCAGGAAGAAACATGGAAACTCAGTGAAGGTGTAAGAAACATAAAAACTGTGATAAAATGGAATCAAATGGAATCAAAATGACCAACAAAATGTGTATCTGAAGGAATCAATAAGAATAAATTATGAGTGTAAACACGGAGGGATTTTTACACCTAAAACTCGCAACATAAATTCTACACATAGTAATGGCCGTTTGTTAGTAGCTTAACATATAGCTATTACCAGTAGTTTGTGCTCATAAACAGAAAAACAATCATCATCGTAATAATGTTGATATTGGTGTTGCCTTTGGTTCAAGATAGAAAGTCAAATAATGTCCGTATGCTATCCGTATGTGTTGATTTTCAATTGCATTTGCATAAATAGGCTAACTGAAGTAACATATGTATAACTGGAGAGACGAAAAACCAACTAGTCTTCTAGTTTTTTTTTAAAGTTTAATTTGATTTATGTAGTTGCGGAGAGATTCCACGACCTCATTATTACTTAACCGTGATAGGATTTTTGTAGTACTACAAATACATATGAACTGTTATTAAAAATTCACTTAGTACTTGGAAGTACTGGTAACTATGTGAATTTTGGACAGATAACTGACAGTAGTTTGTTGAACGTGAGTGCATCCGCAAAACACATGCCCTAGACTCAATGTTCTGATTGGCAATAGGCCACTTACATATATCCACACATACTGGTTGATGGTGTATACAAGTCAGTTACAAGTATCATTTTCGGGATAATAGAGAGATCGATTTTCATCGACTTGAGTGATAATAAGGTCATGGAGGTGTAAAAATACATAAAATGATATGATGATAATAAGGTGTTAGAATCAACAAACCTTATATGGCACAAATATAGGTGTCATGG